AAATTTCATTAAATTTTTTGTAATTGGAGGAATTAAGACTTACCATTAGGCTTAAACTTAAAAAAATTGATTATAGAATTAGGTGAATTAATGGGTATAGGCTGGACACAGAATATTCGAAATGTTTATGGCCTTGTGAACTTTTATATATATATATATATATATATATATATATATAGTTGATAGATTGGAAGGGTTCGGAGGCAATAAGGAAAGGAAAGGCATTCGAGAAGTAGTTGCTTGACTTCGATTCTTCGATGGAGGTAGGTTATGGGTTATTTTTGTTTGATAGATAAACTCTAAATAGCGATTGATATTTATTGAGTGATATTGTAAAGTCTCCTATGTACTTGATTGTGTGGTTGTATGTTTTGATTGTGTGGTTTGTGGTTGGCCTAAAATTATGACACTGTTGAATTTCTAATCTTGAACCCTCTCTATTAAAATGACGTCTTGACTAAAGAAGGCTTGATGAAATAAAATAATGAGATAATTGGATCGGAGTGTCACGTTTCGACACGGTATTATTGGATCGGAGTGTCACGTTCTAACACTGTATTATTGGATCGGAGTGTCACGTTCCGACACGGTATTATGGGATCGGAGTGTCACGTTCCAACACAATAACATTAAAGGCAAGGAATCTTGAAGTAACATAATATACTTAATCTCAAAGAACCTATTTTCCAAATGAGTATGGTGTGGAGGCATTAGTCCTCATAGGTCTGTTTGATGTTGTATTGATTATGGTGTTGTTGTTGTCAATTGTTTATGTGTTTTTTTGGTTGTCACCTTTTAAGTATTATAGTTGATTTTATATTATTATTCAATATATAATGATTTCTATTTTGAGTTGACCGATGATAACTACTTAGTACGTGTTCCTTGTACTGACCCCTACTTGTATTTTCTTCTCTGTTCTTTTGTGGAGTGCAGCAAGTGTGCCATCGACTTCGACTCGCCCTCAGCTCTAGCCAGTCTCCACCATATCAGAGTTCAGGGTGAGCTATTAATTCTAGCACGTGTTTGATTCTCTCATTCACGTCTTGATGTCTTTGAATTTCGTACATGGGCCCTCTTTTTGCTTATTTTGGTTTCTTAAACACTTTTAGACTTGGTAATTATGAAATAGATGTCATTGATGTGATGACTAGGAGATTTTGGGATAATAAGTATGAAACTTTAGAAACTTATTTAAATTGATTACTTAATAACTCTTTGAGCTTCCGCATTATTTTTGTTATATATAGTTGAACTATTAGTATATTTGGGGTTCAGACGTGTTGGTTCGCCCACCAAGGGTGGGTAAGTGTGGGTGCCACTCACGATTCATTTTGGGTCGTGACATCGATGTTGCACCATTCACTGTCATTAGCTGCTTAGAATTTATCTCCCGGTTCCTATATCTTTCACATGAAAATTCACACCGCTTTCTCGCAAAAATGTTTGGCCCATTCCCTTAATATACCTATCTCCTTCCTTATTTTCATTTTCTTTCATGTCAACGTACCTTGAACACTATCACCATGAAACATTAAATAAATGCTTACCACAAATTACCGAAGACTATTTTGGGTTGGTCTTGAAACGTTGCTTATGGGAAATTTTGTCCATCACTTAGTAGGAGATAATGCTAAGTTACTTGATAGCTCACGAGGATTCAACTATGCTACTGAATCTAATACTGTCCTGAGGAGATATTTGGCCTCTAATATTAAAAGTGTATCTCTAAATCAAAATTTTTATTGGTCGCCTTCGAAAAAACAAAATTTACTTTAATTTCTGTGATTCCCCAATTCTACTGATGGAGGTAAACACCTACTATATTAAATCACATTGTCTTAAGTCGTGTTTTGAGAAAACACTATGTTTTTAGTTCATGATAACTCAACGAGATTTTTTTTGGTCTACTTAAAATAAAAGAAATGTATATATTGATTCTAACTTTTCTTCCGGGCCGTAATTTTATGAACATCATAATTACTATTCCTAAGCTGCTTAAATGGGTACTTCCTGGGATGGTTTTCATAATTTGCATACTTTTACAAGGGTCGCAATAGTCTTGCCTTACATCCGACATATTATTCACAATCAAAATTGCAATTTTTTTCTATGTTGTATTTATTGTTGTATTCATGTTTACTACTTTATTTTGTGTTACCTGAGCATGGGGTCTTTTGCTAACAAGTTTTTTACGTAGGGGTAAGGTAAGTGTCCGCTCTACCCTTGCGAATCTCAATGTCTTTGGCCTAAGGAATTATTGCAACGATAATGGATGAATATAAATAAAATGATTTACTGAGATATTATTTAATCCAAAGGAGCATATGTTGTTTGATAAAATTAAAAAATATGTGATTTGTTATGTTTATTAAATTTATCAACTACACAACAAATTCAATAAGACGCACAACACTTGGATTAGGTATCAAAGACCTTTCACAGGAGAAAAATACTCAAAATTGATGAATCAAATGTTATTAACTACTCAGGAAAAGATAAATATAAATATAGGGAATGAAATCAAATATTCTTGACAAATCAGTGTACTCCCAAAAAGTACAAATATTACTAATGATCATACATAGGCTAATTGATGTAATTTATCATCACGCGAAGCGCGGACAGTTTTCCTAGTATCTATATAAATATAAAAAATTTACCTTACAATGTAACTTTTTATCGAGAAAAATCGAGTAAACTCCTGAAACTCATGTGGGTCCGTCCCTGCTTCTATGGTATGGTGCCTTTGGGTGGGGAAAGTTAGGCTTTGCACCCTACCATATTGTCAATACATATACGTAACAAAAATTACAAAAAAATAATATAGGGATATAAATCTTGCCTCTAAAGTTCAAAATTAGGTTACATAAATTAAAACCTAGTCTTTTGAAAGGGAAGGGTAAGCCTATATAGATTCTTCCAACTAAGAGGAGAGAAACCACAAAAAATTACAAAATTATATTTCGTATAATCCTACTACGTGAAGTGTGAAAATGATAGAATATACTTAGACCTTATCATTATATCGTAAAGGTAGATATTCTGTTTTCAAAAGACTTTCTGCTTAGGTGAGTCAAATCCAGGTAAGAAAAGAAGAAAATACTAAAGAAAACACATATAATTGTTAATTAAAGTCTACATGAAAGAATTACAATAACAATAGTAGAATAATGTAACAATTGAAACACAATAAACAATATATGACAAGAATTACAAGGGTATGACTAGATCTACGATATGTATCAACATACCTAAACCTAGCTACGTACATCACAACAACATCCACTAACCTTGCACCCTAATATTCGACCTGCTTTCTTTCAACACCTATATAGATCTTCATATCCTCGATAATTTATATGAAATTGCGCAATGTCCGATCTAATATATCACGTCCTTCCGATACTTTTTTAGACTACCTCTACTCCGATTCCTCGCGTACCACTTTCAACTAGCCTCTCACACCTTTTTATTGGGCATTAACACTTGTTCTCCTCTACACATGTCCGAATCATTTATATCACGTTCCAACGAACAATTACATTTTGTCACAAATTTTTTTATGCTAGGTAATTTTCATTTATCTAATTGGAAAAATCCCTTCATATTAGGGACCTTGCAATGGTGGTTCCTGGGCCACAAATGCAGACTCGTTAAAATGCGTCATTACAAAATATAGGATTTATTAGTTTTGTTAAAATTTAGAGTTTTGCTTTAAGTAGAATAACTTTAAATAGTATTTTCGGCTAAAATGACCTCTTATATTAACTTATAAATTAAAAAAAGAAAATGATTTTTTTAAAAAAAAATCTCTTAGGTATGAAGATGAAAACCTCTTAAAAATGATGCAAAATAAAAAATAAATTTATAAAGAACTTAAAAAAACCAAATTTCCGTCATATATTACATGTCATATAATTCACCATATAGATGTTTATATTATCAATCAACTACAACAATCCACGCGTATAATGTCGTTATACGTTATTGATTTATTATATTGATTTTATTTGTCACCGTAAATAATTATATTTTCTTTTTCCTTGGACGTTTGGTATTCAATTCGAGATTTTTTAGTTTTGGTTTGGAAAATAATTGATAGTTAAAAAGTAGATATTAAAAATCGAATTTTTATGTTTTGACTTGGCAGGTAATTTGGCAAAGCAAACTTGTTAAACAATGACAAAAATTTTCATATTAACGGTTAACGAGATGGGTGGACTCTACATAAAACTTGGACGAACCTCCTTCCTTTATGCTCTTCAACGCAAGACAAGTAGACTTGTTGATATGAAAATATAGGATACCAAATAATACTAATGACTCATTTCCAATATTTTATGCGCAACTCTACTGAAGGGTCAGTTAGTATTGTAGTTCTTTCCAATTCTTTTTTTTTAAATACTATGAAAAAAAATCTTCATGCCTTAGTTAATTAATTCTTCTTCTATTTTAATTTAAATATTTTATTTTAAAAATTAGATTTTTATTAATAATTTTATAATAATAACTTTTTACATGTCATGTTTAAGATTATAAAAATATTTTAAATAGTATATTCTACATATTTTTAGTTTAAGATGACAATTTTACTTTCTTAAATTTCATATCAAATAAAATTAGATAAACAAATTAAAATAGAAAGATAATGCGGACTTTTAAGTAATTTTTTTTGTCTTAATTAAAAATACATCTCCCTAATATCACTCCTTATTAGAAGTGAGGCTTTGAAGGATGAACACATGCAATAACTATTGTACTACATGCTTTATTAATTTTATATTCTTTATAAGTGGAGTTTATCTCACGCGTGTACTTCATCATAGCTTTTTCTGTCAACATGGTGTATTGCTATGTTCATTGGTGAGCAAGCCACGTGTACTGCTGAAAACAACTGTAATCTAACATCAATATTCTCTTCCTCTTCCTTCACTCATAAGCAGACTTTTTATAACTAAATTCAATTCTCTCTCTCTCTCTCTCTCTCGCAGGTAATTTGTTTTATTTTCTTATGTTTTGTCTGGACTTTAATTCTTCTTTTGTGTCTCGCTTTCAATTTCTTTTTCAGAAGTTTAAAATTTTGTTCGTTTGATGGCTTGGGGATATTGCCGCTTGATTAAAATGGGTTTTTTTCATTTTATATTCAATCCTCCATCATTGTTGGCCTTTCGGCTCTTTGGAAAACTGATTATGTACTCATTTATGGCTTTGTATCAATTGCATAGTCGTCAGAGGTATTAATGAGAATAGAGACATGCTATGTGAATAAAATTCACTGAGGTTAGTAATGGATTGTGTCAACTATTTTGATCACCCTTTTTTCTTAGACAATTTTTTCTAATTTTATGGCTTAACTTACAGAGAATTGAAGCTAAAGCTGATAAAACGCGACTCAATCGTAATTTCCTGAAATTTTATCTTCTTGAGGAATAACATGTAATAGGTTCTTTGGGTATTTTCCTTAGAATCAAGGTGGTTCCATTAGTGGTAAGCTTCATTTCTAAGTATTTTCATATGTGTATTTCTTTATTGAACATGTAAGCATTTGGTTAGAATTATATTTGAAAACATTTGATAGCTTAATTAAGTCTCAATGTGTTATTTCAAGCAAATTTTAATCATTGCTAGAAATTGTAAACAAGGTTAACAGTAATTGAATTGGGAATTGTCGTAATGGAAATAAATAATAAGATATTTGGGACATTTGTTTCTACACTATTTACATGACAAAATGTATAGCACATAAACTTGGGACTAATAAGAAGAGAAGGAAAATAGCACTTCACCAAGATAGTCTACTAATGTTGAAATTCTCTCCATTTGTTACTTGTCTTGATAGAATGTCTTTTGATTTACATTTTATTGTTAAATATTTATTTATTTATTTATTTATTTTGTCAATTGCTTCAACAGATCTCAAGCAACATATTAATGCTCGATCAGTTGATGATTGCATAGATCATGAAGTGAATTTGAATGGTAATATCAGGTCGTTTTTTTTTAAATAAGTCATAATTCTCTCATGGTTATTATTTATCATTCATGTGTCTTTTGAATATCAAATAAGTACTTTCAATGTCAACAAACTTTATGGATCCACGATAATGATGGAATAATGTATAAAGAAACTGCTGAAAAAGTGCATCTGTAATTGATTTATATAATGTCTTTTCAATTATTTTTCTTTTGAATATTATTTGATTTAACTTTTGCTACTTGCGATACAAATTTGATGTACATTTCCTTCAATCAATACTATAATGAAGATGAAAAGGGTGAATAAACTTATAACTCAACCATACATTCATATTGAGAATATAACTGAAATGACTCTTCGTTGATATTCCACAAATGAATTTCTGCTATGTTTTGTAACACTTCATAAATGGACTAGCAAATCTGATATCTGCTTTAAACTTTTATTTGAGTCTAGTGACTATAACGATGAAAATATTTTTTAGGTACTTATTTGTTATTAATAATAATAATAAAAATATGTGTTACCAACAAGGGTTGTGATGGAGGACAAAGTATTCTTTCATCCTTATTCAAGAGATCTCAGGTTCAAATTTTCTTTGTCTTTGTTGGGAAACACTTTACCTCCTAATATGGGACTTCCTTCCAATGTGAATGTGAATATCGGACACTGGATGATAAAGAAAAAAACATTATAGTACGTGTTGGTCATTCTAAAAAATATGTTTAACTTCTTTTCTCCTTTACAAGAAAGATTCATAGTTACTTATTTTGGCTGAGTTCTCACTTTTAATAGCTTATGTGGCTCTTAGGCATGTTTTATATGTCATATGAATTTTACTTTTTCTAGTCAAATATTCTCAATTGAAGATTGATTAAGGTAAAGTAGAATTATATTGTCTTAAAACTCTTAACAGTATTGAAACACATTTATTTGAATACTTGATATAATATGTGATTTTTTTTATTGCAAGGGCATTTGTGGCTGACACCTTGTTGTAAGTTTGAGTTTTAATCTATGGAACCAAAATATAATACTGTTTGGTTGGTACTTGTTTACATACAAAGATTGTCTTGGAAATAAGTGTTAGGTAGTGGAGCCTGATTAATATATATAACTGTTTATTCTCTGTAACCAAAAATACTCTGATTTATTAATATAAATATACCTCACCGCCGTGGAAGTTTACTCACGGGGTGTTACCACGAAACATTGGGTTTTCTCTTTCTCTCTCTAGATCTCTCATCTCTTTCTCTTGAAAGTTCTTGTGTTCTTCATTCATCTAGTGTGTGTGCGTGAATTTGATCCTAACAACTAGTATCAGAGCTAAGGAGATTCAACACGATCACAGAAGATGGATAGTTCGAAGCTTGGAATTTAGAAGTTTGATGGATTCGATTTCAATTTCTGGAAGATGCAGATCGAAGATTATCTGTGCCAGAAAGATCTTCACGAATCGCGGAATCCATGACGGAGGAGAAATGGAAACTCAAGGATCACCGGGCTCTAGGGTTGATCCGGTTGACTTTGTCAAGAAACGTTGCGTTCAACATCGTGAAGGAGAAGACTACGTCCGGTTTGTTGAAGGCACTGTCAAACATGTATGAAAAACCATCGGCTATGAACAAGGTATATTTGATGCGTAGATTGTTCAATTACTGATGTCTGATAATGGATCTGTTTCTGATCATATAAACGAGTTCAATATGATTGTGAGTCAACTCAATTCTGTGGATATTAAATTCAAAGATGAAATTAAGGCATTGATTTTGATGTCATCTCTGCCTGAGTCTTGGGATACTGTTGTTGCTGCGATTAGCAAATCCCGTGGATCTGAGAAACTGAAGTTTGATGAAATCCGTGATGTTGTTCTTGGCGAAAGTATTCGCAAACGAGAAGTGGGAGATTCATCAGGCAGTGCTCTCAGCGTTGATGGAAGGGGGAGAAGTAATACGAAAGGCCAAAATCAACATGGTCGATCAAAATCAAAGAATCGAGGAAAATACCTGAACAGATCAAACGTGACTTGTTGGAACTGTGGAGAAAAAGGACACTTTCGGACGAACTGTACAAAGCCAAAGAAGAAACAAAATCAGAAATTTAGAGATGACAATGATTCTGTAAATTTTGCAGAGGACATTAGGGATGCTCTAATCCTTAGTTTGAACAATCCGGTTGAATCATGGATTTTGGATTCTGGTGCATCTTTCCATTTGTCTCCAAGCAAGGAGTTGTTTCAAAACTTCAAATCTGGAAATTTTGGAAAAGTATATCTTGCTGACAATAAAGCCTTAGAGATTTAAAGAAAGAGGGTTGTTTGCATAAAGACCAATTCGAGAAACCAGTGGACATTGGAGGATGTCAGATATATTCCTGGGATCAAGAAAAATCTGATCTCTGTTGGTCAGTTTGATAACACGGGATATGCAGCAGAGTTTGGGAAAGGTTCGTGGAAGATCGTGAAAGGTGCTATGGTAGTAGCTCGTGGCACCAAATTTGGAACCTTGTACACCACTGCAGGGTGTATAAACATGGTCGTTCTTGCTGAAGGTGCTTCCAGTTCATGTCTGTGGCACAACAGACTTGGACACATGAGTACTAAAGGAATGAAGATGCTGGTTGCAAAAGGAGCATTAGAGGGTCTAAAGTCTGTTGATATGGGTCTTTGCGAGAGCTGTGTTATGGGAAAACAGTAAAGAGTAAGTTTCACAAAGATTCCTAGAGAGCCAAAGAAAGTGCCGTTGGAAATGGTCCATACAGATGTTTGGGGACCATCTCCAGTATCATCACTTCGAGGATCCATATTATATGTTACCTTCATTGATGATTTCAGAAGGAAGGTATGGGTTTACTTCTTGAAGCATAAGTCAAATGTGCTTGCAACTTTCAAGAAGTAGAAAACTAAAGTTGAGAATCAGAACGATTTGAAAGTCAAATGCCTAAGGTCTTGCAATGGAGGAGAGTATGACAAATCAGAGTTCAAGGCATTCTGTGCAGCTGAGGTAATCAGATTGATGAGAATAATTCCTGGTAAGTCAAAGCATAATGGAATTGCTGAGAGGATGAACAGAACATTGAATGAGCGTGCAAGGAGTATGAGAATACATTGTGGTCTGCCCAAAACACTTTGGGCGGATGCTGTGACCACACCTGCATACTTGATCAATAGGGGACAATCAGTTCCTTTAGGGTTCAAGATTCCAGAGGAGGTGTGGACAGGAAAAGAACTCAAGTACTCACACTTGAGGACTTTTGGTTGCACTGCTTATATTCATGTTGATCCAGAAAAGAGAGACAAGCTTGATTCCAAGGCTGTGAAGTGTTACTTCATAGTCTATTGTTCTGATTTATTTGGCTACATGTTTTGGGATAACAAGAACACAAAGATCCTGAGACATTGTGACGTGACATTTGATGAGTATGTCCTGTACAAGGACCAAGAGCAGAAGGTTCTATAGATTACAAAGCAAGTGGGAGTTGAGGTTGGGTTGGAGAAGAGTAACCCCAAAGATGTAGAAGCAGATACTCAACCAACTCCTACTGAAGAATCTGAAGTGGAGAAAGTTACACCTGAGCAGGTGTTAAGGAGATCATCCAGATCCATCAGGGCACCAGAAAGGTATTCACCTTCATTACACTATCTATTGCTGACTGATGAGGGGGAACCAGAGTCTTTTGATGAGGCCCTACAGGTGGAGGATTCGATCAAGTGGGAGCAAGACATGGTAGATGAGATGAGGTCACTTGAGAAGAACGACACATGGGTGTTGACTGAATTACATGCAGGGAACAGAGCTTTGCTGAACAAGTGGGTGTTCAGAATCAAGACTGAACCAGATGGCAAAAGAAGGTTCTAGGCTCGTTTAGTGGTTAAAGGATATTCACAAAGGAAAGGTATTGATTATGCTCAAATATTTTCTCCTGTTGTGAAGTTAACCTCTATTCGAATTCTATTGAGTATTGTTGCATCCGAGAATTTTCATCTAGAGCAAATGGATGTAAAAATAGCGTTTTTACATGGAGATCTGGACAAAAAGATCTATATGCAGCAACCGAAAGGATGTGTGGTTCCAGCCAAGGAACACAGGGTGTGCAAGCTCACCAGGAGCTTGTATGGACTAAAGCAAGCACCAAGGCAGTGGTACAAGAAATTTGACTCCTTCATGATCAAGAGTGGATTCTGAAAAGCTAAAAAGGATCCTTGTTGTTACTTCAAGAAATACAATGATTCATATGTCTTTCTACTCTTGTATGTGGATGATATGTTGATTGCAGGATCTAGTATGAGGGAGATTAACAATCTGAAGACAACGTTGTCTATAGCGTTTAAGATGAAAGATTAAGGTCCAGCGAAGCAGATTTTGGGGATTAAGATTTCTCGAGATAGATCTGCTGGCACTTTAAATCTATCTCAGGAGTTGTACATTGAAAAGGTGCTGAGCAGATTCAGGGTTAATGATTCTAAACCCAGGACTACTCCATAGGCAAATCAATTTAAATTGTTAAAGGAGCAGTCACCCAAGACTACCGAGGAGCGTGATCACATGGCACTTGTTCTATATGCTTTAACAGTTGGTAGTTTGATGTATGCTATGATCTGCACTAGACCTGATATAGCACATGCAGTGGGAGTTGTTAGAAGGTACATGGTGAACCCTAGGAAAGAGCATTGGGAAGCTGTGAAGTGGCTTTTGAGATATCTTAGAGGTACATCAAGTACTTCACTCTATTTTGGAAAAGGCAAGGTGACTCTACAGGGTTTTGTGGATGCTGATCTTTGGTGGGGATGTTGACTCGAACAAGAGTACATCCGGGTACATTTACACCATAGGTGGAACAACAGTGAGTTGGATGTCCAAGCTTCAGAAGTGCGTCTCTCTTTCATCTACAAAAGCTGAGTATGTGGCAATAACTGAAGCTGGGAAAGAGATGATATGGCTGGCAGATTATCTTGAGGAATTGGGCAAGAAACAGAGCGAGAAGATTCTTTACTCAAATAGCCAGAGTGTCATACAGTTGGTGAAAAATCAGTCTATCATTCGAAGACAAAGCACATCAGAAGGCGATACCATTTCACTCGCAGGGCAGTGGAGGATGGCGATATGTGCTTGGAGAAGATTGAGGGTACAAAGAACCCGACAAACATGTTGACAAAATGTGTTGATGTTGGGAACTGGGGTTATGTAAAACCTCGGTTGGTCTTCTGTAGTTGTTGC